CTGTCTCTAACTTTAAGGAAGGGCACACTTTAAGACATGGTCAGGGGGAGAGATGGAAGAGAATTTCAGTCAGAGACAACTTGTAAAAATGCAAAGGTGGGGGGGGTGGGAGGAGTGCTGGATTCAGTTTACTTTTAGGCTAATTAAAACGCAAAGTCATGCTCATCCTCAGGCACCAAGACCAACCATCCCGAATCCATATTAGCCTTCAGCTAATAACAGCCGGAAAAATAACAAATGCTACTTTTATGATTACCATATTAATATACGTTTTCAACCGGTTCCGGAGGAGCTGTCAATATACAGCCTCATGCGGCACCCCACCCACCTATTCTACCACCAATTTCACTATTGTGCCTATGCCAACGTTGCATCTTCTTAGCTCCATTATGGAACATTTCTAAAGCACAGTAAAGAGACCATGCTTTTTGTCAATAGCAGTCTCCTTTAGCATCTATGATCTTAAATAACAGCAAAGATGAACGCACTATGGCAGAGCACGAGGCACAATGAAGACTTCAAGATCACTATAGTGCCTTTATATGATTAATTAATATGCTGATTACATGTGGGAGGTTGGATTCTTTGAGGCTAAACAATTGTGAGGCAGAAGGGGCGACAACGGGACACACAAGTCCCATTTACCAAGAGAGGAAGTTACAGAACTTTACCATTTATTTAGTCTGAGTCACAGAGCCTTGGCTACAGTGACTGACAAACCAAAAGCCACATCAGACAAGACCTGGGAGTGACAGAGCGCACAGACATGGAAGAAATAGGGCTGGAAGGGGCCAGAAACCAAAGTCTGACATCACCAAACCCACTGAGTGTTGTCTGTAAGGCAGAGGAATGAAAGGATGGGATGGGAAGCAGGGAGAAAGGGCGGATTACAGGCGTTGCTATGAATTTCGCAGGATCCAAACATTCACATGAAAACCTCAGAATTGGTATTGCAGTTTTAATGCAGTTTATATTTTGTGTAATAAAACAATTGTAACAACTCAAATACATTATTTTAATAAATGAGAACAGACAAATAGAGAAATGTAATGGGATAATCAAGAGGCAATGTGTGCCATGTCTGCAAATAAAAGAAAAAAGCGAAAGCAAGGAAAGGAGGAACAAAAACCGTGGGAGTGAAAGCAGAAGAGGAAGTCAAGGCTACGAAGAGGCTGAAGGAACAGATCCTAATGCTACAAACGTATGCTGATGAGTCAGAAAGCAGGCCTGTGATGTGATGGAGAATGATCTGACAAAGAGATGTGCTCAGAGAACAGGAATCAGCCACTCTCTAGGGTTGGCTGTGCCTGCATTTCATGTGTGCGTACGTGCAACCGCCCGCATGTGTGCGTGTGTGAAATAAAAGGACATTAGGGAGAATGGAATGACACGAGGAAGTCAATATGTCCTCCTTGAAAATGTATCATTTTCCTACTTCTGAATTCCCAGCAACATCTAGTAACCAATCCTCTCTCATTCCCTCATGACAAGCAGAAAGGGGGTTTGCATTCCTTCATGGCAGCAGTGTTTTAGTAGAGATAGAACCTCCACTTACAGATAGTATAAACCGTATTCTCTGCTGAATGGAGCAGCATACAACATAAATAACCATGACCTTCGTGAATATTCACACCACCATAGCCATTCGCAAACTATAAATCATAAATATGACCAGAGCTGGGCCTGAAGAGGAATACATTCAACCGTCAAAAGCAAGGGCAGGGCAGGTTTCCATCTTGGAGCTGTGCTGGCATCCTTCTGTGAAAGCCTGCTTAAATGGCACATGGCAATCTGGTGTAACATGAATCTCAATTAGGAGAGGAAACATTTGAAATCTGTGCAGACAAAGGCCCACGTGCCGCACTCAAACAACTGCTCACTAGACTCATTAAACATACACACAGTAATAATAGATTAAGAGACAGGAATCAAAGGGAGGACTCAGGAAGATAGAAGGGGAAGCACATCAGAACAATAGTTCCTCCTCTGCAATCTGAAATGGAGCCAATGTTTGTTACATGACACAAACTGACAGTCTGCGGGGGGTGTAGCCCCTCTGGCTATATGACACGTAGCACACCTCGGCTAGAGCAGAATATAATGAAGCAAAGATGAACAAAACAAGTGCACTAACATCAATGTGAAAACACTATTGCATACTGGTTTATTCCTGCCATCTCCCTTAGTAGGACATCTTGAATACTGTGATTCATCTGCATTGAATTGTTTACTCCATGGGGCATTTATGTCACATACAATTATTTGGAATAGTAAGTGTCTGAACGGACATGTTTATGCAAAAAGCCATCAGACTCTAGGCCTGAAAGAGGGTACAACTAAATCAAATGTGTCACCAATTTAAATCAATAATTTATGGCTAACAATTGTGTGTGTACAATAGTGCACGCCCTCATACAATGCAATAGTGAAAACCAACATGCACATCCCAAGCTAATGCGGCATTTCATCTAGGACCATCATGGCAAAATTATTATTATTAATTAATGTTCACTAATTAAGGATAGCAGACCCAAAGGCACAATGGCTTGTGATGTCATCTCTGTAAACTCCTATCTCTGGCACTCTTTCATTTGCTACCCATGGGGGTTTCAGATTGTGCATGCAGAGCAGGTGACAGGCTTTCCACTAATGTGCGTGCACATAGCCTGGGAATTGATTTTAGCTTGAGGTAAAGAGGGTGGCAGTTTGAGGAGAGGCTGCTGAGGACAGACGGTGAGTAAGGGAATGAGGGGGAAAAGGGGGGTTAAAAACAGCAATTCAGGATAAAAGACACGGGCAAGTGAAGCCAGGTCTGATATTATTTTTAAAAAGCATCCCAGTCCCTGAATGGAAATGTTTTTCCACTTCCCTCATTGCAGAATATGCCTCTTTTACAATAGCATTTTCAAATCTTACACTGCTGAAAGACGAACATACAATAAGCAGTGCAGTAATATGCATTGTCACACATACTCAAATACAAATGTCAACATATTAAAGGTGGGGTAGGTAACACTTTTTGTTATATTCCATGGAATGCTCTTAACATCCCGATAGCAATGAATACATTAAATGCTTTGACAATAAATACATAAAAACATGTCATCTGTGGAAGCCGTGGCGCTGTAAAAAGCACGACCAATTATTTTAGCCGGCCCGGCTAAAATAACTGGATGGCCTACCTGCCTGTCAGCCTTCCATCTGTGCACAAACTTATCTCGTGCCCTCATTGGTCATGTGCGCGTTCGTGTGTGTTGGAGGAGGGGCTCTGTAAGGAAGTCTGAAGGAAGGGGCAGATTTTTTTCGGCTGCGTAGTTTCAAATTCTAGCGCACTCGAGCTGGTTCTTACCTACCCTACCCTACCTTTAAGGAGAGATGCAGGATTTGTATGTGTATTCATTCCACAATTTAAAGATACCAGGATGTGATGTAAAAGCTTCTGGTCTTCTAGCTCATATTTCTGAGCTGAACAAAATCAAATACTGTCTCGCCTCAGGAGAATGCTCTGGATGCGTACCTCTGGAGTAGCACTACACCTGCTCTGCATGTCGGAAGGGTAAAGAGTCTCGTGAAGGAGGCGTGAGACAGGATTTGTAATCCCATATAGCCATCTTTGAGTACAATTAGGCAGCAGAGAGAAAACTGCATTCAGTCACTCTCCTTCTTCTCTGTATTAGTCACCTGTACAAACAGTGTGTGTGGGTCCATAAGAGCAGAGCAGAAACCCTTAGTACATAGCGTTACAGATATTAGACAGCTGTTAAACAACATCCCAAGCAAATCTAAAAGGATGGAAAAATTGACTTTAAAGGACATTTATCAACTTCAATTCCAGTTTTCAGTAATGCAACCACATGACTAAAGCTCAGAACATTTACGAAATATTAACATAGCTTGCGGCATGTCTCATAAATGAAGGAACATAGAAGCCTTTCCTTCATTTACATTTGTGATATCAGTTATGTAAAATGGTGTACTGCGGCACAGTAGCATGCGAGAGGAACATAGTGGTGTAGGTGGTGCTCATTTTTGGTGGATGACAAAGCATAAAAATATAACGCAATCCAGCCTGAATCCACCCCTGACAGCTCCCTGCCATGTACAGGGCACGGTAGATAAACAGGGAAGAGACATTTCACAATACCCCTCAATTATATATCAGTGTTTATCTCAAAATGGCAGTTTTTTTTTTATCAGAGGTAAATCTTAGTAGTAAAGTGGTTGTAGCACTGGCTGTGGAGCACCTCCTCTTGGTAAAACAAGTTGCCGTGCTGAGACAATTAGGCCTGAATAACTGATACAGACAAGGCTCTCGCACAAGTTATCGAAAGGCCAGGATTGCAACAGCTAAACATGCATGTGTGGTTGGGCAGAACATTAAAACTTTGAGAGCAACAGAAAGTTGTTTAACCGACTGACTGAGCTCCTGTTAAATGAAATTCCTGCCAGGTAGAGTGTGTGAAAGACTAAATATTTGTTATTAACTTTCATCGGATGCGGAAAAAAACGATTGCATTGTGATTAACTCACTGCATTTGAGGACAGGCCATACATTTTCAGATGCTCTCTATCAATGTGTAATACTAAAGGACAGGTACATCAGGGTGTAAAAAGCCTTACTAAAAGACATAAAGAAGGCTGTTTTCAAACTAAAGCATGTCACCACAACACTGTATAAACAAAAAGTCCATCGACTATTTTGCACTAGCCATTTGCTTTGACATGCCTGCAATGTAACTAGCTATGTTTTTTTGCTGTTCTGCTCATAGACCGCCCTCCCACCCTGTAATCTCCCTGGCTGTAGCTGTGTACCACAGCAGAAACAGGGATGGGTCTGAGTTATTCCGCTACGTAGTTTCACATCTAATATTCAGTCCATTAAAAGAAAAGGCACTGAGGCACAAAGATAGGTGAGCAAGAAGAGAGAAAGCAAGCCAGTTTGTACTCATCTGAACTACAGTATGTCAGTGAAGATGAGGAGGGGATAAGCATCAACTCACCAGCTCTGTCCATCCTGCATCACTCTGAAGCACCTATTATATCACAACGACATAAAAATGTATGACATATATAAGAGAAGAATGGGTTTTTGTGTAACAGTCAAGCAAGCTACAAACGATGTTAATCCACAATAAAATTGAAGAATGTAATCTTGTTTTTTTCAAAATGAACATCATGGCACACAATAAACAACAAATGTATGTTGAAAACAAACAAAAAGAGGAGAAATGGTGTGAAAATGAAAGAAACTGCAACACTGTCCAGAGATGACATCATAATGTAGAAAGCTATTCGGATCTGTGTAGGCCGAGCAGGTGTGGGATAAGCCCAAAAATAAATTGGCAATGAAGTAATCAGCTGACGTCCCAGTATCCCTCGTGAGGGAATGACCAGTGCAGAAAATTACACTGACCTGGGACGCCCAGGAAAGAACCGCTAATCTGTGGACCTAGTGTGTGCGTGTGGAGACACAATGGGTACATTTGGTGTGGTAATGTTAGCCTATAGCCACAACTCTCCTCAAACCGAAGTTTAGCCATGCGGCTAACTGCTCAGCATCTACCAAAGAGAAATGCTAAGTTAACTAACCGATTGACTTGCAGCAACATGTTTAATAATCATTGCTCGAGTTAATAAGCAGAAATTAAACAAAAGAGTTAAGATGGCAGAGAAGCAAACAGTCTCCGCAGCTCGCCAAGCTGTCTTGCTAGCTAACTCACCGGTGATAACCTAGCAGGCTAACCCTGGTAGTCGCAACATTACTGCTGCAAGAGTGCAGTTTAACTTCAACCGCTAATTTGTTCGACCCGTTCATTGTTTGTGCTTCATGTGGGGAATAATTTGCACTCCAGTTCCGTGTTTGTCGGTGCCACATTCAAATCATTTCACTTTTCTGAAGCTAACGTTGCAGTTCCTGTGTTTTTACCTTGCGTCTCCTGGCTTCAGCAGTACCACTCCAAACAAAGCATTGGTATATGACTCGAAGATTTTGTTTCCAATTATCCACCTTATAACCGTTCACATGGGAGCACCCGGCCGGACTCATGACAGACAAAACATTCAGTTTGGGTTTTTTAGGTGACAATGAAAAGTCTCCTGGATGATTCACTTAGCTAGCTACCTAGCACGAACTGTATGTCCAGAAATGGTTTCCGTTTGGAAATGGGACAATCGATGTAGTATCCAAAATACTCCTCGGGCATCTGACAAACACGGTCTTTGATTAACTAGCTACACATCATGTAGTCACCTAACGGAATTATCACTTCTCTAAGATTTCTGCTCCTCTGGCTGTTTTGACAGTTGTCTTTTCCTTTAGCGTTAGCTCCAGTTCCACTCCGATTAGTTAGCTTTCTTTCTCTAGTTAGCCTGCTAACACTCAACTACAGCTTCACAATGCCCGCCCAGCGTACACCGTGATTTGTCAACACAAAGACGTTACGTCACTACGTTGGTTCGCTGCGCACGTTGGGTGCGCTTGGTTTGGATCCCAATGTGTTCCGTACGTTCCGTGTGGGTGCATTTATTATTTTAAACATAGGATGCATCAATGGCGTTGCCGTAACATAAATCACCTTCCTTACAGGATAGGGTGGAACATATATCAAAATGCACAGTAACATGATTCTGTATGGTGCAAAGCTGTAGCCTACTATGTTTTTTAAAAGGATACATTATCAACAAGGACCAAATATGTATGTCACTTTCTTTAGGACAATCAATTGCAGATGGCTGTTCGACAGATGCTTCATCTGTCACTTGGATGCACGTATTGGATAAGCTTTGGAATTATGTGCAATAGTAAAACAAATTGAAATGTGTTTTAGTCTTTGACAGAAAAAAAAGAAGGCCTAAAACTAAATATTTCAATGTGAAATTCCCCAGTATAAAAGTAAACGTTCAACCCATTTGGTTTCATCAATTAAAGCCTACCATCTAGTGGTCATAGGATGTATGTATTTGCTTATACAAAACATAAAAAACTCAACTGCAAAGTCAACTTGGTTTCGTTAATTTACAATAGGCCTATGTTGTCTATGTACAGATGCGAAGCCTGCCAATTCATCTTTAATTTAGGTTTCAAATATATATTTAAAAAGTAATATTGGCTAATCTGACATGTCTGTAAAAATGTGTTGAAATAAATAGTAAATTCTCTTGATTGTTCACTTGGGGGCACTGCAGGTCTTCTGATCTGTACAGTATGTGTGTAGTTGTGTGTATATTCAAATTGGTTGGTGGTGTTAACAGGAAATAAATATAAATAATGTTAATATAGACAAAACAATGATATATTTTATTGTGAATAATATATTTAAATAAACTCACTACAGATTTGCATTGTTGTGGTTGTTATTTTTTATATGTATTGTTTATGTCTTATAATTGCACTGTTGGGGAACTTGCAATCTAAGGTTTTCCTATATAACATAATTACACCGTAGTTGTGTATAGGTTATGACAATAAACCTTTGAATCTTGAATCTTGAATTTGTATTGACTGACAAAACTGGCCAGTGTGTCTTTACATTTCAAGATTCAGTAATTAGCTCTCCAAACAGAATACTTAAACATTGATTGAATGGATAAATAACACATGTTCCTTTCTTAGACAGTTGGAGAGGTTTCAGGGACAGGCCCTCAGCATATTGGTAGATGCTCCCGGCACAGACAACAGCATGCTCACTATTATCTATTTCCATGGTTTCACTGGGTATTATTCAAAAAATCATTTTCAATTACTTTTAATTTATTTTCCAAGTGTCCAAGGTATGTAAGAATAATGAACAACACAGCTAAAGGCTACATTTATTTTTAACTGAATGAATGATTCACATACTGTTTAGCTGGGATCTTGCAGCGCAGTTTGATAAATTGCTATAAACCTTATTGCTGACAAAACTTGATGATGCATGAAGGTGCAGCTGGAGTATAAAGGATGATAATGATAGTGAAGACATAAATGGGGCAAAACATGAGATTGATGTAAGGACTTATTTCAGTAGACAGAGAAGGAGTTGAAGTGTCTTTTAGGTGTTTTAGTTGGATTAAAACCATTTAATGAGGTCTAAATCTAATAAAAAGGTTGTGTAAAAGTATAGAGTCATTGATATGTGTGTTTAGTTTTATTCCGGCGCTCATGAAGCCTGTTGTAAGCTCAATGAATGCCACATTTACATGAAAATAGTTTAGCTGTTTTATGATTAAAAGATTAACATTATTAAACAACCACACCAGAATCTTATGACATGAAATGTACTGTTTATCTTGTCAACAGTCATGTCATTTCTCCTGCAATGCTTAATTTATTTATTTTAACAGTAACTACACTGTTGGTTCAAAGCTTGCATGTCTCCTTTGCAGCAATAAAAACAACTATAAGGCAGTTACGGTACAAAAGAAGTGCACTAAAGGCCAGTAGACTATCAAGCTTCATTGGAACTGAGCCACTGCTTTCTAGGAAATCCAGATGCTGAAATAGACACTGATGGGTATGAACTAGTGCTTTGGTAATAATTTAGATGTGACAGAGCTAGTTCTGAGTAAAATTAAGCACATGCAGTCATTCAATTTGTACTGAATGATTCAACTTGTTCATTTGTTTTGGATAAACTTTTCAAGATACACAGGATGACCAAATGACCCCTCATATTCATGACAAGGACGCATTGTTTGTTAAATTAAATGTGGAATGATTAATGATCAGCAGCTGACTGGCTACTCTTTATAGGATACTCATAAAGACAGTTGGTGAAGGTCTCTTTCCAAGAAGCTTATTTGAATCAGATGATGGGAAAACATTTATTGCCAAATAAAACCTTTGTTTTGGGTTGGCAATCTGACTGCATGTCTTTATTTCTTCAAGACATTTAAGTATTAATTATATTAGCTAAAGCAATTGAACTGAATTAGAAAAGTAGTAAGAATACACATTTAAATTAGTGTCACTGTAAAAGATAATCTTTTGTATATATTGCAAAGCATTCAAGAACAGTTTCTTCTCATTGATTTTCTGCTTGAAATCACTTTCATGCTAAACGATTTTCTCATAAGAATAAGTAGGCTAGATACTTTTTGTCAACACACTTTGAAACAGTTATTATTGTGACATTATTCTAACAGTAGTGTTTGTTATGAGCATGTATGTATGAAGAGCATAGTCTGTATATTTTGTATGGCGTTACGTCATCATACGACGCATGACGTACACAATCCGCGCCGCAGAGCAGGGAGCGTGATGGCGGCTCCTCAACAAAGAGAAGAGAAAGAGAGCGAGGATTGCTCTTTGTTGCCTTTAGTTCATGATATTATCAAATGGTAAGGTTACTGGCAGATTATCATGTGTTACATGTTCAACCGCCGCCCGGTGGAAACCTAATTACTTGTCGTAAAGTTGTTATGGTGGGGTTGATAAGCTTGTTGACTTGTTAGCCAAAGCTAAGTTAGCTTCTACTGATAGGCTGAGAAGAAAAGGTAAACGTCCAAAACAACCAGTGGTGTAAAGTAATTAAGTACATTTACTCAAGTACTGTACTTAAGTACAATTTTGAGATACTTGTACTTTACTTGAGTATTTCAATGTTGTGCTTCTTTGTACTTCTACCCCACTACAATTCAGAGGTAAATCGTGTGCTTTTACTCCATTACATTTATTAAATACCTTTAGTTACTTAGCAGATTTTGATTAATAATGTGATATATAATCAACTCTTAAATCAGACTCAAGTTCCAACTGGAGTCTACCCTGCAGTATACAAAATCATTCAAACTAGCTGCACCTTTACCAGCTTTGATAACACATGAATGCATCAATAATTATAATCAAAACATATCATATATATTATCATGAAATGGGCCAATCTGCATAATGAGTACTTTTTACTTTTGGTACTTTAGGTATATTTTGATGGCAATACTTTTGTACTTTAACTTGAGTAACATTTGCAATGCTGAACTGTTTCTTGTTCAGAGTAGTCCTACACCCTGGTACTTCTACCTTTACTCAAGTACAAGATCTGAGTACTTCTCCCACCTCTGAAAATAACATGTCAACATGGAAATAACATATTCCCTTTCTCCCCTCAATCGGTTTAAGCATGGACAAGGACAGCCCGGATGTTCACCAAGAACTGGCCAAGCTGAAGGTGAAGATCCAGGAGGCTCGGGATCAGATCTCCACCATGCCCGGGGTGGACAGCAGTCCTCTGGAGCAGCAGCAGCAGCTGGCCACACTGCGGGAGCAGGTCCGCACCAAGAACCAGCTGCTGCAGAAATACAAAGGTCTGTGCATGTTTGACGTACCAAAAGCATCCTGAAACAGAGGACTGGAATACTGCACTGACTGAAGGACACTCACAGACAGTCGAGGTCATTCTCACATATGGAGCAGATGTGGGATTCAAGAATACAGGATGGACGTTTAAATGAGAAAGGATTTTCTTCCTTCAGTTGCATCACTTTGAAAGATGCCTTGAACGACATACAATGTCTTCTTTTGACATTTGTTTGCGTTGCTAGAATGCAAACTTAGTTGTGTTGTGTTTATATTAAATGTAGTTTTACAGTTTATCATTTCCTTATGTTATTATATTGAAGATGTTTATTTTTTTCTAATAAATTGAATTGAATAAGGAGTATTGGTCTAAAGTATTTTAATCAGCATACTGCTTGCACACATTAATTCGAGCCTGTGGCCTTCATCATTAATTAAGTCCATTATTGGCACAAACTTCTATCAGTACAAAAAGCAATTATTCACTATGTTGTGTTCAGACATGAAGGGGGGTAGGCATTCTAAATCAAATCATTCAGTTTCATGCTTATCCAAAATGAATAGCTGGTGGCTCATGGCTGAAAAGTCCCATTGAAAGTGCTCTAAACTGTTAGGTGAGTGTGTTTCTGGACCCTCAGGTCAGTATGTTACATTAATCTTGAATGGAAAGGAGGAGCTATGGGGCGACTTTAGATATATTCTTTATATATTTATCCCATACGTTTGGCACTGTGGAGTGTTTTGTGTAACTTCATTGTGCTTTGCTCGAAAGTAAAGAGAAGAGGAAGACAAACTATGAAAGTAACAAGTGATTTTATTTTCTCTTTTATCCAAAAGTTGACATAGACATAATAAATACACATTTGGATTTGTTCTCAATGCAACAAAAATTCAAGTATATCCCAAGTAAAAAAAAAAAAATGAATATAGCAAAATGTAAACGGTTTTTTTCTCAAGTGCCTTTTTGGCAAGCTAATGTGAGCAGATTTTACAACATTTTCCTAGCATCTACTGCATCACTACATAGGGGACAGGAGGCACCTTCCCCGTGTGTCTCATCACAGTTTGGATCACGTCTCTCGACTCGGGCGCTGGAGTCTACAGTATTTGGGTTCATGTCATGTGACCTGTTGAACGGCTCCGCTTCAGCTCTGGAAAGTCTAATAAAGTCTTTTGCGCACACAAATAAAGTGTCAGCATATGATGCAGCCTTTCTCTTTGGTCTGGCTACCTATGGCTTTCTCCTTTATGTACATCAAGTCACTCTGCACGCTGGGTCTCCGCGCAAACGGCTCCACAATCCCATATGCGTTCCCATCTTTGCACTTCTTGTTTCTTAGGGACTTTTTGTGAAGAACTTCGCAGAACTGCACGGAAACTTTGCAGTGGCGACCGGGGCTCATTTCGGTTGGCAGTTTGGCAATGCTAAAGAGAGTCTGAAACATTTGGTCTACGTTGGTGTTCTTCTTTGCTGAGATTTCAAAGTAAGCGCAGTGCTCGTCTCCACCGACCAGCTGCTCGATCTCCTCCTCCTGCACTACACGGTAACAGTCTTTGTCACACTTGTTGCCGCAGATCATCACCGGGACGTCTACGTTCTCCTTGGTTTTGTTTCGCAGGCAGGACTTGGTTTCATATATCTGTCGCTTCAGACGCTGCACCTCCTGGAAGGATTCTCTGTTGTCCAGACTGAACACCAAGATGAACACATCACCTGGAAAAACAAATAAGAAGAAATGTTCAATATACAATAATTGTGTAACATTTTAATAGCAGCAAATTAACTTTGCAAACAGCAACAGGTTATTGGCTTAAAGTTTCAGTGCTCAACTCACCGGTAAGAATTGATAGCCTCCTCATTGCAGGGAAGGGATGATTTCCAGATGTGTCCAAAATGTCCAGCTGGTAAACGTCTCCCCTGATGCTGTAGAGTTTCCTATGAAAGTCCTCAATAGTTGGTGTGTACTGGTCGTCAACTCTCTCGTTCAGAAACCGAGAGATGATGGATGTCTTCCCAACTTTATTGGAGCCCATAATCACCATCCTGTGGCAGTTCTTGGCCGGGATGTCGAACTCATTCTCGGAGGTTGACATTTTCTTAATCATGCTTACAGCAGATGCACCCGGAGGTTGACGGTGTAGAAAGTGATGGTTTATAAGTCCTTTCGGTGATGGGAGAGGTTCTAACCTCGCTGTGTCTCTGAAGCCTGAGGAGAGAAGGCTGGGGATATATGGGGGAAATTGGCCGCGCCTCCCTCATGCGTCATGCGTCATGCTCCAGCTTGGGGAGATGGAACAAGAGCCGATATCATAATGTTACTGTGGCAGTTTTTGTGCGTCAGCCCCCTTATTATCAGAAAAAGGGAATGATAGCTTGTTAAAACTTTGAGCATTTTCATGTTAATTATCACAAACTAAGTGCATAAGCAATGGCAATAATGTGAATTGATATTTTTAAAATGTAACTGTATTCAAACTTTTCTTTAAAGTGCATTATATTGAACCAATGCGTATTTATTCATTGGACACATGGCTTATCTCACATTTACATTGTGCATGTCCCTAAACGCCCTTTCTTTTTAGTGTCCCCACATAAGTACAGGACATTAAGCAGCCTTAAAATCGCATAACTGAAAGTTCATTTATGATATTGTAGCAGCCTCACTACAAATGCACATTGAGATGTTACTAAAATATGCTATTATTATTGTTATTATTATTAAATTTACTCAGGTTTTAAATGTTTATCTATTTTATTTGCTTCAACGAAAGGCGCTAAGCAGATAACTAAATAAAGTAAATAAGGTTATACTGTTACCATTTCACTGTCACTGGGTCAGTTAAAGTTTTATAGTTTACAATGTGCAAGTTAATTACATTTTCCTTGATTTCATGGTCAAACATGAAATGTTAGTAATATTTATTTTAGAATGATTGGCAATAAAATAGTATTAAAAACAGTTAAACAAATAAACCATTAAAAAAATACCATACAAACCAATCAGCCTATAACAACTTTCACATGTGATAAGATTGAAAACAATGTCCAATTAAGATAAATAAAATGGCATGAAATTATTTATTTAAAAAAAAAACTACATAAAGAACACAATCAGATCATCCTAAATGCAAGCAGCAATGTTTAAACGTCACAATGAGATGGAGGAACTGCTGGATGGACTGTTGCCTGGAAGGCATCGAATCCCATTGGTATTGACTTTCTCGTAAGTGTTAATCAAAGTATCCCACCACCGGCCTAAAGATAGAGCCCGCTGTTTCTGAGTCAAACTGTGCTCATCGACTTTGCCACCTTAACTACTTATCACCTTTTACTTATCTTCTCACCTGCAAATCAGTGTAGAGAGGGAACACAACTCCTAAATGGAAAGTGTGTGACTCATGTTTTACTAATGCAGTATCTGTAATATTTATTCTAAACAATCTGGTCTTCTTCATTTATTATTTCTGTAACTTTTTATCATTCATCAAAACCACACAATTATTGACTATTTGGGAATAGCTATTATGATCATAAATTATGAAATATTATTCCCTGGATATTTTTCCCAATCAATGTTATCTATATTTTCTTGTTTAATGACCATTTTGACAGCAGTTGCTATTGCTATCATCAAGATTAGCTGAGTTTACAATCTTGCAGTATCACTGGATTATGTAAAAGAAAGCAGCACAGTTTAGAAGGTTTCCATTAAAATAATTAATTACTCCCTTTCTAATATTTCATACAATGTCAACAACTGTTCTAAGAAAGACGTGTATTAATAAGTCTTGGTATTCACCTTGATTTTGAAACCTAAAACGTGCCAACAATAATGACCTTTATGTCCCTCTGTGAGGCATTGAGGATGAAATCAGAGAGGTATACTTAAGCCTGCTTGTTCCATGCTTGAGCGACAGGTTTGTGTAACCAGGTCGGAGGGAACCAGCGCTTCACCCTTCACTATTGCTCAGTAATTAAGCCGGTATGTTCCCAGCGATGCTTTTCACAGAACATGTGGACATGAGGCTTGTTCAGTGAGGCACTGCCATAACACTACCTGCACAAATACACAAAGGAGGGAATATCATGTCTCACCCACAGGGAACACATCTTTATTTATCTCTACAAAGCAGTACTAGTAAAGCAACTCTGTATGATATGCCCCTGAGAGGTTATTCAATTAATACTTTTGAAAATAGCATAAAATCACAAACACACTAGTCTGGGTGTTCACCTGCAAACCAGAACACATAAACATACAATACAGTTTGTGTCTTTTTTAGGTACAACCCATTTGTCTGTTTGCATCCTGACTCCTGTCTGTAGTGTTGACATGTTTTTGTGTCCCAGCCTCTTTGCAGCTTGTTCTGTTGGACCTTTGCATGCAATGTCCTGGCAACGCGGCCCTCAAGTAGAGTAACCACACCAGCTGCCGCACACTCAGGCCACGGCCAATCATACATATTAGCCTCATTTCCTTCTCGCCGTGTTTGCCTTCATCAATTAGTAAAGAGGACAGACAAGTCTGGAAAAGACATTGAGGACCCAGTGTATCACAGCTGAAGGAAATCATGTTTTTTTTGTATCTGGTGAAGTGATTGAACCAGTATAGACACTAAGCCATGTTTTATTGGGAAGTAACCAATCTTGTTAAAGGAATAATATTAAATAAGACCATGGATTGTGCCCTTTTCTTTTGACTGTGAAAAATGCCATTAAGGCCAAAGGCTCAGCTGTGGCAGACTGGAGAAGCAAACTGAGATGCAAAGATTATTTTATAGTGTTTGGGGTTCACCTTAAAACAAAAACAGCCAAAGAAAAACAACGACTGACCAATTTCACAAACAGCAGTGACATTCACATGTTAGAAACGTGATTACAAATATGGTAGAGTTGTTATTATTGTGGCATCAACCCCTGTTCCTTATGATAGTGTATCACACATGAACAGCCCCGTGCGGGTATACATGCTTGACGCTTAATCATATAGTGAGAAGTCTAATTTACGAGAGTGTTTGTAATCGTGTTTGCCTATGTGCATATTAGGTGTGATTGTGTTTGATGGGCTGGAGGAGAAAACGTAGAGATGATCCATATTGATGTGCATAGTTGGACTTCTGGGGTTCTTTTCGGCTCAAGTCACAGATGTAATGTGGACCTATATGTCATTGTTTTTTCAGCAATGTGTACAGCAAGGCCAAGTATGTTGTCTGGGTTCACTCGTTTTCCAGAATATTTTTTAAAACACATGAACAGATTATTTGACTGTGAGACAGCAAAAAGTCTATAATCCCAAAATGTATACCAGCTATCATATATACTTTCATTTTATTGTTCATACACTATTGGTTCACATGATTCATACATTTGTATACACAACATATTGAGACAAGTTCAAATAGTTAAATATTTGTTTTTATTTCATTGAGCTCTTCTGCAGACAATTCGATGACATTTTGCCTTTTGATGGCCCAACATGTCAGAGAGACAATACCATGTATCAGTTTGTGAGCTGTAATGCAGGTTTATACCTACTGTAGATGCAGATTTATTTTTAAACATTTTTATTTTTAATAGTGGCTCCAAAGTAGCTGATCCATCCCACAATTTTTCCAGGTGCATTTGCAAAAATCAAATATAGTCTTCCCTTGATTCAGCACAGGTGTGGTTCCAGACACATTACATCAGATGCAGAGGTAATGCTTACGGTGGCTTTTTCTCAAAACCATTATTCAAAATGAGGAACTAAGACGTTTGTGCTGCCTTAAGGTAGGTTTGTGCTCCCTGAGAACATTAAAGTTACATGCAATGTGCAGTGTTCTTAATCGGAAAACCAAGATGCAACTTAGTCATCTTTGGACCATTTATGCATTGATGAGATACCTGGCCTGTGTCTAGTGATTTTTGGAACCTTCGAGAAAAGATTATTTTTCGAAGTTAAATCATTTTTATAACCATTATTGGATAATATGCTTAATAAATCTTTTTTCTTTGTGCGGAATCCCTACTGCGGAGAGATCAAACTTCATTTATTCACTCTTCCGGGCCGTCTGATCTTGTGTTTTTGGGGGAGGGGAGGTGTCTTTTCTGTGTTTTCATGGCGTGAGACTAGGGGCTGTTGCGTGTCAGGCCGGGCCATAGTGCAGAGAAACTGTTGAATGAAGTATGGGCTGGCGGTTTCCAACACAAAGGCTTCATGTTTCAGAGCCAATCAAAGCTCTGCTCTGAGTTTAGCTTTGGTTTGCACACCACCTGTATATGTTGATAAATCAGCAATCTGTCATCTGTGTTATTATCAGTGACATGCAACCTCATGTTGTACTCCCTGCATGTACAACATGTGAAGCAAAACATACTGTAACTCTGTATGTAAGGCAGCCATGCACAAGTAGTGCAACACTTTTTAGTATTTCATTTTCCTGATCTGTTTGTACGCTGTGCACTCATTTCATCTTCAGGAAAATAGGCGGAGAAAATGATCATGTCTGAACTGTTAATGTAATTATCTTTTAGAGAGATGAAGGCGGTGAAACTCTGAGGACAGAACAGGTTGTATGAACTATCAGCAGTGTACTTTCAGATTTTCCAACCACTGAGTTATCAGAAATGATTTGTCATAAATGGATAACCTCACATTCACTGGACAGAAGGTAGTTCAGAGGGTTCTTCTCTTTGTATGACCTGCCTGACCTGCGATTCTTCTAAACAGGTGGTTATTTTGTTAATTGATTTGAAGAGCAGTGAATGCACAGAAAAACACGTCAGATAAAACGGAGCGGTGGACCTGAACTCACTTCACGAAGTTGGAGGGAGGTCATTCAGATCAATATACATGCTGGCCTCTTGAAAGAAACAGCAGGACAGGCTTTTCCCCAACACTGTCATCAGCATCCAACACAGAGAAAAATCCTATTGAGCTACAGCATGTCAACCTTAAAAGAGAAGTTTGACATTTAAGGTAATATGCTAGATCAATTAGATGGAGATTTGATTACACTCTCATGTCTGTACAATAGATATGAAGCTACAGCCAGGAGTCTGCAATATTAGTTTATCAAATACACAAGAAACCATTAGAATTCAATTGTTACTCCCAGCAAGTACACCAAGTTGTCTCTTTGTTAAAAACAGACCAGCTAAGGCCTACATTTTCTAGCCATATCTGTGGAAGTGGTG